TCTTAAGCGACTGATCAAAAACAAAATACCTTTCCAAATTCACCAGAAAACGCATGATTGAGCTATGAAGACACTGTGTTCTTAAGGAGTGTGACATACCAAGGATGAGGGCTCACTTTGGAAAACTGCAAGATCTAACACAAGCTGCTGGTCATTTTCATTTCATTACATTTAAAAAAACCATCTGTTGGCCATTACATGTCTGAATGGACTTGTCAAATCCTTACAGCAGAAGCAATGTTCCTCGAATCCATCTGGCCTAAATCACTGTTTCCAATGTGAACGCCCTGCCCACCTGGTGGGTTTTAGGAGGATCATTTTGTGCCCACAGATTAGAGATTTTTGAAACTGCTTCAGCTGAGTAGCATCTCACTGAAGAGCACTGGAGCAAGAGGGCCCTACTGTGTGCTGTTGCCAACAGCCAGTGTGGACCCCACAGAACAACCTGAGTGCAGGAACTGGTAGCTCTCACCTTCCCCTCTCACAGGGTTCAGGGGCCAAGCCCAGCCCTCCTGGACCACACACCAGCCCCATATGGCCTGCTGTCCACGCAGGCACATTGGCATGTGAATAGAGGTCTTGGTATCAGGACTGCATCACATGCTTCCGTGTCCCCCACCTCAGCCAGAATGCAATGAAGCTTTCATGGATGTGACAATCAGCCTCACTCCTCTGCAAATGAACTTTTAGTTGGGTACTAAAGGTTGTGTGCCCCCTTCAGTATCCCTTTCTTGAAATCATCCCAACTCCCCTGGACTCTCTTGGCTGCTTAATCTCACCCTTCAAGCCCACCTTGCTCTAAGACCATCCCAGAGGGCCAGACTGAGTCTAAATCCCTCCCTTAACCCCCACTGGGAACGCAACGGCTAGGCAAGTTACTTAACCCCTCCCAGGGTCTCACTAAGCTGTGGAGACTTAGCAGATCATTCCTGGGGGGGGGAAGCACCTAGCACTAAGTCTGAAACACAAGGCCCCAAACACACTTTCCCTTTCTTCAAAAGAATCATGCCATGAAAATCATTTGTTTACAACTGCACTGTAGAATACAGTTAATGATCACCAGCCACAAATGAGTGTGTATATTTCAATCAGCTTAAATAAAATGATAGTAAAAATTCTTTCACCACCCTTGTCACACTTGAAGGACTTGGTGACCACATGTGGCTTTCTTTTCAAAGTCCTGCTGGACGTTGCCAGCTGCCTTATCTGATTAGATTCTGAGGCTTCCTGACACGTCGAAGCCAGTCTCTTCTCAATCTATGGCATGTGAAATCCTTCCTGATGACAGGAGTAAACACTGCCACCGTATTTTCTGTGACACTACTAAAAAGAGCCTTGTCTCCAGTTCTGCATCCCCAAAGAATTTGGTCCCTCTGGATTCAGGTGGAAAGGTTCCTCCTTAACCTCGTGGGTCCAGAAAACGTTCCTGAGCTGTTCCACCAGGGCCCAGGTCTTCCAAGGCCTATCCGGGGGTTGGGGGGTGAGCACGGTGCTGGAGGCTCCAAGACCTGGATCTAGGCAAAGCACCACCTCCCTGCAGCATGAGTCTCAGGAAGGTTATGGGCACCATATTTAGGACACTGGATCCCCCATGATTCTCTAGCACCTCACAGGAGGGAACAGGAAGTCAAACACGGCTTAACAGCTGAGGGCGCCTCTGCCCTACTGTGGCAGTCAAGCCTTCCTATGGGTGCAGGGGAGGCTCCATGCAACTGGAAACATGGTCTGGGAGTGTGCAGGCTCACAGGGCCTATCCTAGCAGAAATCAAGGTCCCCAGAGAGACTGTGTCATGCAGGTGAGGACCCAGGCAAGCTGCCTTTTCTCCAGTGTTCTGGGTTCCAGGGCTCTGAAATAGAATCATCCTCACCTGAGCTCCGGCTAATGGCCTTGCAGTAGTCAGGGATGGGGTGCCATATCTGCCAACCTCCCCTACCTTCACCTCAGCCAGGGAGAAGAATCCAAAGGACACAGAGCCTCATTTTCCTTAATTGCTAAGAGCTATAAAAAACGTTTAAGAAATAGCTGGGATTTCACTGAGTGGCCCAGCAGTTTCCAGTCCCTGCTATATCTTCATCGGTGAAAAGAAATCCACAGAGGGGTGACATTCTTTTTCAAGATAATCTGTTTTTTAAGTTAATGGCAATAACAATGGGGCCATGGATATGGCCATTATTGTGTACCAGGCACAGTCCTGATACTTTACCTGAGTATGGATAGGGCACACCTGACCCTCACCACCCACTCGGTGAGCCATGGGCAGGCCAAGCACCCCTCAGCCCACAGGAGGGGCCTGGGCGCCTGGCTCCCGTGCCCTGAGCTGCAGCACTACCTCCAATGGTAATAGGAAGGACCCAGAGTTAGAGTCAGCCCTTCCCTCCTGTCCCCTCATTCCCCTCTCCTGGGCAGCCACAGTCAGCTGGCTCTCTTCTGCTCCTCCAGAGACATCACCCAGGCACCAGCCTCACTCAGGTACCCACAGACATGCTGTCTCCTAGCAACTGACGACTTTGCTTTCCAGCCCCCAGGCAGGTGCTTACACTGGTGAGAAAAGAGGAGAAAACTCCAAAGTGTCAACTGAGGGTTCTAGACCTTTGTGAAATGTCCATTCTATTGTCTTCTCTGGAGATGGCTCCCAATCATGGCCCAGGTTACAGTCTCTCTCAGGGATTCCTCTTCTTTCCCCAGGGTCCTCTTTCCTCTTTCACTCCTGTGTCGGTCTTCTCTCAATCAGGCAGCAGGGTCTGCAGAGCTAAGCAATGGTGCTAAATGGGGACAGACACTTGCCAGCCAGAAGCCTCCTCCGGTGCTCAGCCAGGGTCACAGCCTGGGCCAGCCCTGCCCCTAATGAGGCTCTACAGCCAGGCCAAGATGCTGGGGAAAGGAATGGAACCTCCAGTTGGTGGAGTCTGAGGATGGTGGGCCCAGTCAGATGATGGTGCACTTGGCTTCCCCCAACCCCCCAGCTCCTAGCACAAACAGACTCCCAAGGGCAACTTTGAATCTGTGGTTCCTGCTAATAGTTACTACATCAGCAATGCACTGGGAACTTCCCAACCACGTTATAGGCAAGTTGGCTTAAACAATATAGCTGGCTTACTGGTTCCTACCAACGTCCACAAATACAGTGGGCTTCAGAGGGGTTGGATCCAGTGGGTCTGTAACATCCCCCAATGACCCACCTTTCTTCCATGCCTCTCTCTGCCTCCAGTGGGCCTGTTGCATCTAGGTGTCAAGAGAGGAAAGATGGCACCAGTGGCTCTGGGGACACAGGCTTGCTCTCATGGGAGAGAAAGGAGGGGGAAGCACCTGCTCTGGGGAGGGCAGAGCCTCTCTCCCAGCCACTCTGAAAAGTCCTTCTGGTTCACACACCAGGGCACAATCCTGACCTATCCCTGAGCCCCCAGTGAACAGAGAGTGAGAGTCAGAGACTACTGGGGGGGGGGGAGGTCGGGTGGAGAGCATTGGAGAGAGATTGAAAAATGGAAATCAGAGCAGCATCTCCAGGAGGAAGGGGGACAGCTGGCCACACCTGCTCTTGGAGGATTCTGAGGGCCTGAGGCTCATGGGAGCTGGCTCCTGGTCCCCTTACTCACTGCCCAAGAGCCAGGAATAGCTGGGAAACTAGGCCCTTCTCTCAGCACACCATGCTGGGACTGGGTCTCCTGGCAAGAGTACTTGGCCAAGCACCTGTGGGGTGCACTGGGGTGAGCCCAGCAATCAGAGAACAGGCAAATCCAGGCCTCCTTTCCTTTGCTAGAAGCTGTACTGTAGGGAAGGGAGACTGGACCTGAGGCAAAGAAGCATGTGGACAGCACGGCTCAGAGGGAGGAAGAGGAACCCGACTGTGGTGATTTGTCACAACCCAGGTCCTCCCGTGTTTCTGTGCTGCCATCCTTGGAACGACTTCTCCCTCCGGCTGCTGGGAAGACAGGAGCATGTTCAGATGTGACCAGGCCATAACCCAGGGGCTATGCTCTCTCCATTTTTTCCTCCCTCCAGCCAGACCTCCTGGCTCTTCTTCAAGCAGGCCTAGGGGACTCCTGCTCTGAGCCTGGGCAAAGTTCCTGCCACCTCCTTGGTCTTCCTGCCTGCATCCTCCTGGCTCTCACCTTCTCCAGATGTCCACACTAAGATGATAACCACCTGACTCCACCTGGCCTTTCCGCAGCCATTCGTCTCCACAGCTTGCAGCTGCATCTAACATGGCCCCTCCTGCCCAGATGTGCTCCAGGAGAGCAGAGGTGTGTGTCTATCTGCTTGCTCATCCTCATTTTCCCAGAGCCCAGGGGAGCTGGTGTTCCACGAAGACCTTCAAAAGGAAGAAAAGACATTATGGACAGACAACATCCAGCGGAAGGCAGGGTGTGGGATGTTTCCAGAGGCTTCCCCGATCATCCAGAAATGGCACACCGGGCCTCAACCACAGCGGGGCTGGGTGAGTGCTGGAGGGGGCGGGGAACCCTGAGTGCCCTTCAGTACCCCTTCTACCGGATCCCTCTGGTCTGTGGTTTAGAAACAGGAGCTACCTCATCCCTGCACCGCCTGGGCCTGAGCCAACCCACACCCCACTGGAACCCGGTTTACCCCTGCCTTTGAATCAGCCTCACGCCGGGTTATCAAGACTGTTCGTGCCTAAAGGCCTTGGCCACCGCCCTGCTGTCCACTCCTCCCTCTGCGCCTCTCCCCCTCACTCCAGCTTCCTGCACTCCTGCCCTTCCAGTCCCGCTGCAGCCGCGCTTTCCTCCCCCCGGCCCCTTTTCTCTCGCTGGGAAGTCCCAGCCCCACCCCGGGAGAGTCCCAGCAGGCCCAGAGACCCAGGATCGGGAAATCGAGGCAACTCAGGGCAGAAATCAGGCCAGCCCCCTGCCCCTCGTCTGTCCGCTCATCCGGGCACACGCTGGGCCCGCGCCGCGGAGGCGCCACCGGGCCGCACCGGGCGGGGCGCGGGGCGCGGGGGGAGGGAGGGGCCGCTGCCGCCTTATTTCTGCGAGCGCAGCCCGCCAGGCTACGAACCGGGTGGGTCCGCGTCGGTAGAGCCCCGCCAGCCCGCGTTCATGCAGCCCCGCGGGCAAACCATGTCCGCGCCCGGGCCCGCGCGCCCCTACGCCCCGCCGCGGGCTCTGCTCTTGCTGCTGCTGCTGCTGCTCACACTGCGGGGCGCGGCGGTGCCTCTCCAGGACCCCGCGGTGCCGCTCCAGGGCCCCAGGGGCACAGACGGCCCCGCGCCACCCTCGTGGGCGATGCTGCAGCAGGCCGCACGCGTCGCGCTGCACTTCTTCAATTTCCACTCCGGCTCGCCCAGCGAGCTCCGAGTGCTGGCCAATGTGCAGACAGGCGGCTGGCAGGTGAGTGGCGGCGCAGAGCAGCGACACTTGTGCGACTGCCGGGCGGGCGGCGCTGGGAGGGAGCGCGATCTCGCGGAGTACCGTCGGGCTCCGTGCGTGGAGCGGTTGTTGGCGCGCAAAGACCGCGGAAAGCTGGCGCGTCCTCAAGGTGTTTCGATCTTTCCCAGGTCCCGGCTTTTGACAGCACTCACACCTGGGTGAGAGATGCACTAGGGAAACTGAGGAAGAGGCCCAAGCCCAGCACTGACCTTTTCAGGACGCACTGAGGGCACGACCCACCAGTGGCTCCCGCCAAACTCTGATTTCCAAAATCTGAGTCAGTTCCCATGCAGAACCGCGAAACTTTTGCTAATTTCAAGCCACCAGCAGGGCTTCCGGATGATTTGGTTGGAATCCACACATCCATCTGGGCAGGAACCTTCCAGCGCTGGGATCCGCTAAATATGATAGAAGGGATTGACTCCGGGCGTACTTTTCTACATGAATGAAAGATTGGGAATTTCTCCTGGTTGGTTGCTTCCGTTTCAAGGAGCAGGCTCCAGGTTATTTCTGTGTGGAGCTAGTGGCTTTCTTCACCAAACAAATTACAGAAGTTAAGCAAAGTGGCCCTATCTAGCAAACTCAAATATTCCATGAAGCCTGCAGATACACAAACAGCCTCAACCTAGAATTAAGTGTTGAATTTAAACAGGTGGGTTTCAAATTGAGTGGCAGCAGGATGGTCGTTTAATTGCCCCTGGCCTGGCATCAGAGGTGGGAAATGGCTTTTTGGAAGCTCAGCCTTGGTTCTTTAAAGACTTCCTCCTGCACCCAGTTGGGCTAACTTTATTGAATGACAGCATCAACTTGCTGCTAGGAAAGGGCACCCTATTTTTGTTACCTATTTTTAACCATCTTCTCTGCCTCTGGGACACAGAAGTCTGTTTTTTCTAGTCCAGCAAAGGTGGGGGGGGGGAGCTTGAGCTCTTCATCAGGGTGGGAGAGATGCTGCCCCCACCCAAAGGCCCAGAGGGACCCTAAAAATTTGCTCCCTGGATATCAGTGGGGGTAATTCCCTACAGAAAACCAAGCTCAGATTTCTAGAGTACACCAGCATTCAAGTTTCAGGGATTTAAATATAATAATTTCATGCATTTAGTCACCCCCTTGAAAATAACATTCTTGGCACCTTTCATAAAATAATTAAACTAACTCTCAGCACCTGAGTGAGTTAAGTAACAATGCACTCCCTTTCTCTTCCATACAAGACTGCATTACTGCTTTTCATCTGTAATAGCGTAATGGTCCTGAATTTTAAAGGTTCCCCTCAGAGGGGGCATTGGGGAAGAAAGAAAGGAAATCAATGGATTAGGGCAGGCAGGTGTGCAGTAAAATCTTTGAGAAATGGCTGCTTCTTGTTGTCATCGGTTTACCTGCCATTTCTTCCCTGGTGTAAAACATTTGTGTGGCTATAGCCACCAAGGAAAAGAGATTCAGCCAAAAATCTTGGGGTGCTGTAGGGAGCCCTGCTCGGCTGCCACACAACCTAGAGACAGTGTCAGTTTTCTCTGGCCATTTCCCCATTTGGAATGGAAATAATTCGTGCTCTGCCATCCTGCAGGGTGGTTTTAAGATTCACAACAGAGGATGTGTGTACACTGCCCAGGGTCTAGGAATGTGAGTTATCACCACAGGGGCAGCGCTCAACCCTCAGCTGTTTCTTGACACCAACAGTGTTCTAGGCTGGACATGGTGGCCCTGACTCAGACTTGGGGCAGTGTCCTTAGGGAAGGCCTCTGAGGTCCGATTAGTTCTGAAGCACTGAGGTGCCTGTGTGAGGAGCAAAGACAAGTCCTGTGCAGCACCCAGCATGGTGGCTCGAGGAATCTCTGCCTTAGTAAGGAGAGCAGTTGTGGCACCAGCATGAGGGATAAAGTGAAAGATGCCCCTTCATCCCATCTGTGCATCAACTGAGAGCTCAGTGCTGCAGTCAGGACCCACCAGAGCAAGCAGGTGGCCACATGCCACTGCAAGATGAGAGGCTGAGGCTAAGTCAGGGTTTTTCAAACTCGGGGCCCACTAGTGAGTGATAAACTCAATTTACTAGGTCCAGGTGTTTGGGTTTGGGTTCAGGGATTGAGCCCAGGGCCTTCTATGTGCTAGACACATGCTGCACTACTGAGCTACCCCCGCCCCCAGCCTTGTTTCATTATTTTTTTTATTGAAATGATACAAACCTTGTGAGTGCACTGCAAAAGCAAGGGTGAGTGTTGTCTCAGAACATTTTGGAGATGTGGATGTGTGTGTGAACGAGGTTATGACGAGGATGTCCTGGGCAAAGGCTGAACAGCCTCATACCAAAGGGTTTCAGTCCCTCCAGCAGCCCTGACTCCCCTCTGGGATCCCGCAGCCTCGCAAGGGCCCTCATTTTAGAAACGCCGTGGACCTCTAGTGGTGAAAGGCGGTACAGCACTAACCCTTTAGAAAAGTCAAAAAGCCGCTCAAGTAACAATTGCCCGAAGCCCTCTCCTGGCCTCAGGCCACCTTTCCTATGCCAGTGAAGCTTCCTGTGGCACAGGCTCAGGCCCACAGGTAGGGCAGTGGGAGGCTCTGGGTGGAGCTGGGGATGGATCTGCACATCCTGGCCAGCTGAGTCCCCTTCTGCCCCCAGGGAGTTCTAGGACCAACACACACACACACACACACACACACACACACACACACACACACACCCTGTGTGCTCTCCCTCTCATTAGAGGCTGACCCAAGTTTTCCTTGGTGACCTCCTGAGGAAGTCTGCTGGCTGGGGAATCAGATGCTGTGTGTGGACTGGTGTTGGAGGGGACCAGGACCAGTGGTTGGAGACTTTGAAACAGCTGGCCAAAATGTGTGGGTAGCATGTGTCACGACCAGGCCTTGTTTCCATTTCAATTGTAATTGCTAAGGGTCAATTTATAGTCTGGTTTGTTTTTTTTTGTTTTTTTGTTTTTTTTGGATAATAGGGCCTTGGCCTTTAATTGGAGCTCCTAGCAAGGAAACGTCCCAGGGGGATCATCTGCAATGTCCATTTTGGCCGACAGTGGAATGAACACTTGCAGATAATAAGATGGCATAATCTTCTACTTATTCTTCCCTAGCTGTGACTCACACTAACCTGATTCAACAGCTAAGTTTAGACTCTTGCCTCTATCTATTCTTTCTAAAGCACTGAACTTGGACTTTGTGGACTCTTACCAATTTATGTCGCATTTAATCAAGTGATGAGGTGATACGTTCGGCAGGCTGAGCAGGTCTGGAGGAAGGTCAGCCACCCGAGAGGCTAGGAGTCTAAGCCCTGGTCCTTCCAGGGTCAGCTACCCTGGATCTGACAGCAGAAACCCAGCTTGTCCCTGGGTCACAGGCAGGAGAATACCAACTTTAAGAAAGGCTTTATCCTGGTGAGTCGCTGTTGGCAATGAACCACCCCAGTCCTGTTCTCTTTAAAAGTCCTCTCAACTTTTAAAGCACTTCAATACATAATCATCAGATCACAGCTCCCCTTGAACTCTTTGCTCCATTAATGTCAATAATTCAGAGGTGATCATTCAGAATAGGAAAGCTATATGTTATGTAGGCCACATAAGCAAGAACTGGAGCATTAGAGGCTTCAACCCTGATGGAGGAGAAAAGAGAAGTTCAAACGCATAGTGAGATGATCATCTATTTTCTGTAAGAACAGCTCTTCCTTGCTTTTAGAGAGCCCTTGGGAGAGAACAATGGGAAGTGGAGGCAGCCATGAGAGGAACCATTCTCTTCAAGCCCCAGGATCTTCTCAGGAGTGCTGGGCACAGCCCAGAGGCCCCTTCTACCCAAGCCCTGGGGCAGGACATGGAAGCACCCTCCTGCCAAGGCCCTGGGGCACAGCACACAGGGGCTCCTCCTGCCCAGGCCCTGCTTATGCTGAAAGGCACAGGTGCATCCAGTTCCTCCACCACCTGCCCTCCTGGTCTGCAGCTCTGCTGGCAGAGGTGGGAGAGACCAGCAGGCCCTGGGATGAAGCTTTGGCTTCCCTGGCATTTTGCCGGTCACCCAATCCAGATGCACCAGATGAGCTAGTGAGTAGGAATGTTTTAACCTCTTCTAACCATCTTCTAATAAACTTTTTAAACCACATTTTTTTTAACCAGTCCACATTTTCCACTTGGCTTTCCAGCTGTGGAGCCAGGAATTGTGCAACCACAGGGCATCAGTAGCCTCCAAGGACAGACCACAGATGGCGATTGTAACCACCAAGAGTCTGGTGGGGCTCCAGATTCTTCTGCCCCCAAATGACTACCATAAAGAGGCTTGAGGCTCGGGATGTTAAATATGCAACTCTCTCCCCTCTCCCAAATCCAGCCTGACCCTGGCCCAGTCACTGTTGGCAATGAACTACCCCAGTCCTGTTCTCTTATGCAGCCAGAACACTTAACAGCCCTTGTACCGGTGCCTCCGTTGAATGCTTTAGAGCCAGTCCCGTAGTGTCTGAGGATAGCAGCCATAACAAGGGTCCGCTCTAGGTCATGTGCTATGGTTGTTCAGGATGTCTCCAGCCAGGGAAGTCCACTTATAAGGGAGACTCTTATGGCTGTGTCCAGCATGCATGCGACTCTAGGAGCACCCCAAGTGTAAGGACCCAGTGGTGCTGACCTGCAGTGTTCCCCATGATACTTAGGACATTCTTGTATTTCCCCAAAAGTTAAAACCCATCTTTTAGATAATTTCCTGGGGTTTGAATGTTTCTAGGTCTGCCCTGGGATGTGGGTGTTTTTGTTTTGTTTTGTTTTTAAATCCAGCCTGGATAGTCCCCTGGTAGGAGAAATGGGTATGATCAAGTAGGGTGGTGGTGATATCTTGGCTTGATGGGTCACAGGTGAGAGGTTCAAGTCCACAGATCAGACAACCAATATAACAAAGCACCTACCTTGTTAAAAGGAGGAAAAGACCTGCCAGTGGAAGCTGTTAACCTCATGCCAACTGGCTGGAGCAGTTCTTGTTAATCC